AGGACAAATGGCACATAGCTGTGCTTCATACGGAATCGGGACCATTTCGATTGAGTGCTCACAGCGAACTGTTTTTGTCGTGCAGTATTTTCACTGCAAATACGAAGTAAAGTGGTCGACCAACTTAACAGTTTCCAGCTGTAGAAAAATTTTTTCTACATGTCTAGTCTATGTGTTCTCTGATCAGTTGTTCCAGTCTACTCTTATTTTCAACTTGATTTATAACATTGTAATAAGTTTTTCGTGAAACAGATAACTCTTCAGCCAACTGGCCAACAGATTAAATTTAGCTTTTATTCTGAAGAAAATTTCGTTTTTTTCCGATTTGCCCCGCCCCTACTGACACCTCATTTTTCGCCACTTCATAGAACGAGCTAGCTGCAAATTTTGAATGCTCACGCTCAAAGAATTGAAAATTACAAGCTTTTTTCGATATGCCACGACCCTAAAGAGGCGTGTCAGTGGATCATCAATAGAGGAGGTTACTAGTAACTTAACTATCCAAATTTGAAGCTTCTAGCTCTTAAACTGTAGGAGACAACGTTTTTACTTGTTTTTATACCCTGAACCCATTGAAAATGGGAAATCGGGGTATAATGGTGGAGGCGAAGGGCGACGAGCTGAGTCGATTTGGCCCTGTCCGTAAGTCCGTATGTATGAACGCGTCGATCTTAGAAGATATAAGAGCTAGAGACTTCAATTTTTTTTAATTGTCTGTATATATTATATATATAATATCAATAATTTGACCCCCCCGCCCCTATATCCACCTCCTCACCATCATACTTGTAAAAGGCGTGTTTCAAATACTAGAGACTTGTGCTTCGGACATTTATACATTATGTTTCCGCTCTGAAAGTATCATTAATTTCGTACGTCTGGAAATTAAATTATTCAGCAGATAAATTCTCAAAATATTGCCCACCCTGAGCGCAGCCCAACGCAGTCGTTGCTTACTGCGCAGTTAGCAGAGCGCATTCTAATACGTGCGTGTGTATGTATGTATGTGTGCCAAAAGATGCAGAGTGATTAAAGTATCAGATTGGGGGGTTCAGGGTATCTCCTAGTCGAGTAGTCTAGACTGTAGTCTTCTTACTTGTTTTTTTTATAAATTAGATATTTTAATGGGAAGTTGCGAGCTTGAATGAATGACACTTAACATTTTCTTTTTCTTAGTCAAAAATATGTATACCCTGTACCCAGTGAAAGTGGGAAATCAGGGTATAATTGTTTTGCTAAAATATATTTAACAGACCCCACAAAGTATATACATTTTTATCAGGACGAGTTGAGTCGATTTAACGCTGTCGCTCTGTCTGCCTGTCCGTATGTATAAACTCGTCGACGGACTTGGCCGAGTTCGCATGTCGTTTGTCATCAATAAGTTATATACTCTATAAGAGCGATCAAAAATTCTCTTCCCGGTTGGATATATTTGCACAAACAACATTATACAATGAATTATAATTTTTAGTGAGTTCATAGTACAGGAAGGTTAGTAAAGGAAGGTTAGGCAACGAAAAATTGAAAGGTAAAGCCATTATTATCTATAAAATATATATGTTCTGACTCACATCCACGGAAATAGTCATGGAACCCTTATTAGCCACCATGCTTAAGTCGATATCCTTATCCATGCCATGAGTTAGGCAAGTGCTTACTGGCTCTGCTTCGTCGCAGACCTTCAAATAAATGCCACCAAGAGTGCTAAACAGCGGAAGTGTGTCTTGGTTCATCGATTCAAAACAGCGCAGTTTATCCGACTCATTCAGTAGAATATCCATATTTCTTTGAATATTATACAAACATTGAGATAAGTAAGATTAACAAAAAGTACACACCTGTTGTACTGCTCCGTATCTTTTTTCTCTGGCCGCGCTGTTGTCAACATTTTGTCCAGTGCTTGTTGTTCCCAAATTTATTTGCAATTCATTGGCGTCGTGTTTTCAATTGTTAGTTTTTGAGTACAGAGTGTTAAGAAAAGAGTGAGTAAAAAGAAACGCAGGATATTGCATGCAGCAGTCAGAGACTTTCAGGCTAGCATAAGGCACAGCAAACGATTAGAAAGAGCATAAGAGAGAGAGAGAGAGGAAGAGAAAGAGAGAAAAAACATCCAGTACCAAAGGGGTATGCGAAAATATAAACGTTAACCCATAAGGACGATAAGACCGTGCAAAAAAGTGTAGTATAAAGGTAGGATAAATCATTCCAAATGTAGTATACTCATATCGGTTTTGTGTTTGTATGAACACAATTTTTTCTGCACTTTTGAAGCAAGAGAACTAAAATTTGAAACACATATTCATGTATATCTCCGATTCATAAAGTGTTAAAATTTTCCCGATCCGCCTACTAGGGGCGTGGCAAATCAGAAAATACATTTTCCTATCTGCCAGACTTTATATTAGTCGAAAAGCTAGAAAGCTGCGCCCAGTGGGGGCGTGGCAAATCAGATGAAACTGTATCTCTAGTTAAAACGTTGAAATTTTGGAAGCGTAAGCGAATGTTATAAGTCTATAAAGATTAATAAACAAACAAGTAAGAACGTTGCAGCCGTTCATACGGCCAGACGGACGGACATTGCACAAAACCAATATACTCATTTCACTTTCGTGAATGAGTATAATTATA